ATAACAACATTCCTGCGTGAAAGCTTTAGTAGCTTTTGGGAATTCAGTGGTCTACATTCTTCGTGAATTCCTATATTATCGCAGGGTGCTCTTAACCCTCATGCTTGTTCACAAAAGGAATTCATAATAGCTCAATTTGATAGGGTCTCTGGTAGTTCTTTAGGTTATAGCTCGTTGTATAGGACTTACCCATTTGCTTTGCATATATAAGTACCTGTTATGTACTATGTGGTAAATAAATAATGTGGTATTGTGGGTAAATTTAAGAAAATTGAAGATCAAAATACGTCACCTGAATTACATCTTCAAATCAGTAAATACTGCCAAATGCAAGTAATGCACCATCTGATTTATACATGATACAAACGTTATAGTTTACAACATAAACAATATCGACAATATCAACAAGTGTTCAGAAAAATGCAAACGTAAGTCAGTTTAAGTACGTATAAAATGTAATGAAGTGGAAAGTAGTGGTGTTGAAAACTGAGTCTACATCTTCAATTGTTGATGTGTATGGCAAAGCACTTTTGGGACGGTATTTGGCGCTTTTTTCATTAGATATCAATTAATTAGCCGCTACATAAAATATATATCAAGCTAGCCTTGCCTGCTCCACGCTTCTCTCTCGTGTGAATGAATGCGCGCACACGTCTCAAACCTTTGAACTTCGGGTCGCAACCTTCTGAGCTCAAAAGGGCGCGTTCTGCAAATCTGTATCAGACAATGGCCCGTATGAATAAAAGTAAGCAAATGCTTATACTTGCAAAATTCAAAGTAAATACTCGTAACTGCCCCTTCATACTGGTCTGTTTAGCATGGTTTAGCAGCGCTGCACTGCGTCCTGTCCTTCTGCTTAGAAGCGCTGCTAAGTCGCCCAGCGCGAAGGAGCACTTACGAATATTTACTTTGAATTTTGCAAGTATAAGCATTTGCTTACTTTTATTCATACGGGCCAATAACACAAAAAGCAAATAAAAAGGGTAGTGAATTGCGCTGCACATAAAATATTGCAAAACAGCAGTCTGACATGGACGCAATCGCATATACAAATTGTAATTAATACTCAAGAAAAATCAATAAGTCGAATGACGTTACACTAGCAAAAGCAAAATTTTGCTCAATGAAAGCACGACATTAAATTTAAGAAAAGTACGATGCACATATAGGTAAATTTCTATTGATCTAATCACTTCCAATTCTTTGGAGTAGAACAAGTAATCTCGGGGCGACAAAATCGGGTATTCTTCGTAGCGAAGCAAGTAGCGTAAGTAAAATCAGCTGTATCGGGGCAATTTACAAGGTCGTTAACCTCCAAGGTTTCGGCTATACTTGCGATTACAATTCAGGAACAAATATCGAAGCGGTCACAGGTAATAGTTGTCAGAGTTGAAGTAACATTTTCGCAGCCGGTAATGTAGAAACTTATCTATGGCGTTCTTGACTTGTTAAATTGGCGGCGGACCTTCACAAATGAATTTTCCTTGCTCAATATTGAGAAAATCCAGAATTCTGCGGTTTCCACTCAGGAATTTCGATGTAAAAAGAACAATCAGGTAGGTAATAATGAAGAAAAGAGTAAGCCAGAAGTTAGAGGTAAAAATCCTAAAAAAATGATTGTCACAAGTCAATGGTAATGCGTATATATTATCCTTACACATCTATTATATTAACCTTGACCTTTCGTCTCTTCCGTTTCTCCTTCCTGTACCTGTATTCAATACGGCGATAACACGTCTATAACTTAAAATTAAGTTAGCGTACGCAACGATAAAAAGCTTCTTATCTACGACCTGAGAAAAACATGAGATAAACTTTTACAAATACTTCGCAAATAATTTCCGGATGTTTCCTGTTTTACTAACGTAAAATAAATTTTTAATGAACAAGGCAAGAGTTTAAACAAAATTAACAACTAATAATTCTGATACAAAACAAAATCGACTTCGAAATCAAATGATTTGATCCGGTGGCGCGATTACCCCCTCGCCGCGGCCACACTTTGCCGAGGGTATACCGTTAAACTCGAAGAATCGAGGTCACGGCTCGGGTGTTGGAGGGTCGAGGCTTTCGAACGTCGTGGTCGCGGAGGTCATGCCACCCCCCTGCGGGAGATCGCCCGTATGAGCAAACGAGAATGCAAAGAGGATGAAACTGCTCGAAAAGTAGACCGGCTTCCCCCTCTCGGAATACTTTGAATCTAAAGCCCGGACGGACCCGCGTATAACGTATGGGGTCGGTACTCCTGAATAACTTTCGTTTAGGGGCGTGGGGGGTGCAAAGTTTGCCTTTATCGACGTCACTCCGCCTTATTCCTCGCGGCGCGAAAGCGAGACGACCTGGGAATAACTTATGATTGGTCAAATGCGGCCCCAAACGTCCCCCAACGTACGGCGTACCAACCGATCCCCTTAGACGAAGACGAAGGGGCGAATTTGAAAGAAAATCGGACCAAATTCGAGTTATCAAATGGTCGCTAAAAAAAATATTTACGGCAATCGAGTCGCATCGGGGAGGGTAAGTTTTTAGGAAATCGCCGACGTCTTTCCTCCGATGCCGACGTCTTTTTCGCACCCGATCGTCCCTCCATTTATTCGGAAAACAACCATGTTTAGAACGATAAGGTTTTTTACGTTGGTCTCGTATTTGTATCTCCCGAGTTCACATCCAACACTCCCCTCCACCCCACCTCCTCCTCATCGGTAGATTTCATATTTTGACGTTTATTCGGAAACGTCAACGGCTAGAACGATGCGTTTTTTTACGTCGGTCCCCTATATCGGTTGTCGCGTTCTAGAATCGAAGGCGATTCGTGTCAACGTGCGAGGCGAGGCCGAGCGATGTCTTTTTTTTTGGGGCTTGCGAGGCGAAGCCGAGCAATGTGTCAACAATTCTATACAAGCATTCTATACAATCTGGGTAGCATCTACATTAGGATTTTACGTTAACCTCCCCCCCTCCCCTCCTAATTGCATTCAGAAGACACTTTTTTTTAAATATTTTGGCGTTTATTCGGGAACGTCGAGGGTTAGAACGATGCGATTTTTGACATTGGACTACCATATTGCTCGTCTACATTTTAGAATCGATGGCGATTTCGGTACATGTGCGAGGCGAAGCGGCACCGAAGCGGAGCGATACCTTCTTTTGTGTTGCAATGTGCGAGGCGAAGCCGAGCAATGTGTAAACGGTTCTATAAAACGCGTGAGATTGGATGGCAACTGCATTCGGGATTTATGTCCCCCCCCCCTCCCATTGCCTTCAGAATGCGCTTTCGTCATATTTTAATGTCCGAAGCGAAGCGGAGCAATGCGTCAACGGTTTTATAAAAAGCGTGAGACTTGATGCTACATTAGAGTTTTATGCCCCCCCTCCCCCCATTGCCTTCAGAATGCACTTTCTTTATAGTTTGGCGTTTATTCGGAGACGCTAACGGGTTAGAACGATGCAGTTTTTTACATCGGTATACTATATTACTTGTCCACATTCTAGAATCGATGGCGATTTGGATACATGTGCGAGGCGAGGCGGCGCAGTCGCAAAACGCAACTTTCTTATTTATGAAGCAATCCGAACGAAATTTTGGTGGTAGGTCCTCCTAATAATAGCAAATAAAATGCATGTGCAAAAAATCGTGTTGCGCATGCGCAAAACGCAAATTTCTTATTTTCCGCAGTATTTATGGGAAATAAACTCACTCTAGCGAGGCATTTTTACCAACCTACAATGAGATTGATTAAAGAAGAGCTCACCAATATATTGGTCCTTTTTGAGCCGAATCAAATTTTTCAGCTTTTTTGCCTTTAAGAATACGACACAAATGTCCGTCATCGCACCGATTCGGCGGGGGATACCAAAACGGCGTTGGTCACGAAACGCCGTGATCGGTCGGAGCGAGCGAAGCCAGCTCCATTCCGATCTAGTTTACTATATAAGCCAATGGTAGCGTATTTCAGTCAGTTCCAACGTCGATGCGCTTGAGTTAATTACTGTTATAGATTAATTCATAATAAAAACTGTATTAGTTGTAATAAATAAAGCACGTAATTAAATAACTTCTCCTATCGCCAGTAAAAACTCACTGACCTGGCTAATAATGTAAAATACTATTACGTTACAGTATTGAGTAGCATTTTTTAAATTACAAATGCAGCGATATGCATGGCACAATATGATGGTTAGTTTCCTTTTATCGTCGTGTATCATAGAAAACTTAACTTTATACCAAAACTCATATAAATCATTGTAAATCTTCTGACAATTCTGAATTTAATTTAGAGACGTCAAAAATAGCAAGCTTAGGTTCTGCCGTCGCGGTCGTTTCCATAGAAACAGCATTGGATTATGTTCTGAACGTCATTTTATTTCGTGCTTCGCGTCCCATTTGAAATAAGAACGACTTTAGAATGCATAATCATCTGTTTCATTTTATCTACCCTTGCCGCTTCTTCTTCTTTACTCGTTAATTGCGCTACTTTTCCCTAATTCACGTTTGGAACTTCAATGTTGCTCCTGAGTCTCCAAAGTCTCTAACTTTCTAAATGTGTCTAAAATTTCTAGTCTCTAATCTTCTATGCTCTCAATCTTTCTTTTTTTTCTTAGTGTTCGAGTGTAATTCGCGTTTCGATTGTGTGTCTCTGATGATGTCCCGATATCTTTTGCGTTTACAAACTCGCTCGCGACGATCCGACCGTGACCATGCCTTTGACCACAACGGTCCGGCCTAAAAAATGCACTCAAACCAAAAACCGCGTAATACTACCAGTACCAAATGTAGGTCATCAATTTTGCGAGCTCTGCAACGTAAATCGAGCCTCGTCAATTACCGGTTAACTGCAACCGTTTACCGAGAGCGATTATTTCGTATTTTTTTCCGTAATTACCGATACAAAGATACGAAACGTAAATGTAAAATTAACCCACAAACTTCGATTTGGTTTCCCATTCTTATGGTCTTCCTACCGGTATAAAAGAACGGCAGATTACAAGGTGGGATTTATTTGGTTACACGAACAGTACCGCGGTGCATCATTTTTCAATACACAAGTCGTGCGTCGGCGTGCATTCTCTCATTCAAAAAAAAAAGTCCGCTGCTCACGGAATTAAGACGGAAGTGAAGCTTTTTTACGTTTTCTTTTTTTTTTCTTAAAAAATTTCTCAGTTCGTTAATGTGATTTTCTGGTGCCTTTCCATTTATCGGATTACACAATCAAAGGTTAGTACTTGGCGCGGTTTTTTTTTGTAATACTGTTGATGGGTGATTTCAATATTGTGCGCGGCGAATTGTTAATTTTCGCGGTAGCTCGACAATTTGAATGGTAAATTTGTTTTTTTCTCGGAATAGCCTTCGAATGGTAATGATAAAAAATGTGCTAAAGTACTCTTAAATTAACAATCAGCAATTGTTTTAACTGCTGAGTGCATGTTTGTAATCATACCATGAATTTTAAACAGGAAAATAAATATTGTTTCTACATTTCGCTTACTCTGCAAGTTCAAAATCGAATTACCGCGAGATTTAATTAAATAATGCATAATCATCGGCTACTTCGTAATGGATAAGTTTTTTTCTTAATTAAAACCAAGTTACGTTATTGACGTCACCCATGACAAACAATTCCGTGTGATAAATTTTTGATAATTACAAAGTATTCCCAATTAGGTCGTCTACGGTCATTGTAATAGCCACATTCCACCTTCTTACCTAACAGTCGAATTGTGGGCAATACCATTAAGACATTCTGACAATTAATTGAATTAACTGAGAGCTCGAGTACACGAAGCACTTCCAGATTATTATTAAATTTAAAGATTGACATCTCCGTTGGCCAATTATTTTGTGACTGGTGCGAAATACCTATGCGTTATGCGCTAGTTAAGCGCTAAAAAAATATTTATGCTCTTATTTTTCCTTTTTCTGATTTTTAGACTTTTATTACCTCAACTCAATTTTTTTTCAATTATAAAAATCGCGTTAGTCATCCGAGCGAGTATTTGGTTTGATGCCCAAAAGTTTTGGTAATTTTTGTTCCCTTCATTTTGAAATCAATGTAAGCTGCGTACAAGACTGTTTTATGGTCTTGTATTTTTTTTTACTCCAAATGCCATTTGAAATTATGGTCCTCGTTATTATAAGATATACTTACAATACAAGGTCGGTTAAATTAAAGAACTGGTGTGTTTTTTTAGGCTGGTTCCGATGGTGAAAACAGAAAAACCAATTGACAGTCGCATTCTCAAAATATCGTCAAAAACAAAATCGAACACCCTGTATACTATATCCTCACTAGGTAGAGAATTACATTGTCAACAAAGTATGCGCATCATTGATCAAAACGTAAAACGTACACTATTGCCTTTTTTCATTTTGTCCAACACAATCAAAGAGGTAGGAACAACAAATCCGCGCAGACGCAAATCCCCCCCCCCCCAAAAGTCGCTTAATCTATACGCTTTCCAATTTAGCCTGTTGCCTTTCAAGCGCATTTTCCAAATCATGGAACTTGGAAGGCGCTATCATGGCAACTGTCTCCGTACGTCTGTCCGTTCGCTTCGCGTTATGCTGATCTGGTGAGGGTTAGACCCTCGTTAAGAAAGATGTAACTTGATACAAAAAGCAGACTTTCCGGGTCTGGACCAGTTTAGTTTAACAAAAAACCCATTGAAAAAACACACGCAAAAATATGTGCCCGTGAATGTTGAAGAGCTTTCTTTTTAATGGTTATAAATTTTCACACATTTTTTCAAAAGCTAGCAAAGCTGAGAAGTTTTAAAGTGCCATCAGAGAAGTTTTTTGAGATTACTTGTAGAGTAAATAAACGTTTTTTTCCCCCCCCCCCCCTCTCACCCTTTCTACGTTCTTCGCCAAAATATATTTGTTTACTGTAGGTATTCCACAGGGAAGAATGTAGAAGCGATGGTCTGGAGGGTATGGGATTACCCCCAGGAAGAAGAAAAAGTCAATATTTACCTTCATACACTGGGTGGCATTCTATGTCCCCAAGCCCCCCCCCCCCCTCGGTGATGCGTTCACACTCAAAAATACTCCCCAGACAAAAGAAAGAGTCAATGGCCCTCCCTTCATACACTGGGGAATATTCCATACGGTGTGGGCAATCCATGTCTACCCCCCCCCTCCCCGCTGTATATCCTCAAAACATTCAGCCTTCCTGCACTGGGGGGGGGGGTATTCTATACCACCCATACCCCCTCGGCGATATGTTCACCAACGTTCATCCCGAGGTTCATCCCTAAAGATTCTTTTGAAAAATGATGTATATGCTAAGGGTACTAAACACTGTGCGGAATCTGGGGGCTATGGAGTATTCGCCAGGCAAAATTAAGGGTGAATATTCATTTATTACCTACATACACTGGGCGGTATTCAATATCTCCCAAACCCCCCGTGATACATTCACCCTCAAAATATTCACCCTTCATCCACACACCTCCAGGAAAAAGAAGGAGTCAATGATCTTCATCCGCATTCGGACACTGCAGGTTCCATACCCCCAGGCTCCCGATCATACATTCACCCTCAAGCTGTTTTGAAAAATTATGGTGTAAGTGGTAACGCTACCACACATTTGGTGGCGGGGGTATTTTATATTCCCCAGGCCCCTCTGTGATACGTTCCCCCCCCCCCCCCAAATCTGCAGCTCTAATACCCACAGTAAAAAGAAAGACTCAATGTCCTTCATCTACAATGTCCTTCATCTACCTTCGTAGAATGAGGGGGTATTCCATACCCCCGGACCCCACGGTGATACGTTCATCCTCAAACATTCAGCCCCAATACCCCCCCCCCCCAGGAAAAAGAAAGAGTCTATGTTTATTTATCTTCATGCACTAAGTGGTATTCTATATCCCCAGGACCCCTCACGCCCATTGATACATTCACCCTCAAACATTCAGCCCCAATCCCTCCCCCCTCTAGGAAAAGAAAGTCTGTTTTTATTTACCTTCATGCACTAAGCGGTCTTCTATATCTCTCACGCCCATTGATCCGTTCTCCCTCAATCAGCCCAACCCCCCCCCCCCCCCTCCTCTAGGAAAAAGACAGAGTCTGTTTTTATTTACCTTCATGCACTAAGTGGTATTCTATATCCCCAAGACCCCCAACGCCCATTGATACGTTCACCCTCAAGATTTAGTCTCAATAACCCCCTCCCCCCAAGAAAAAGAAAGAGTCTACCTTTGTTTACCTTCATGCATTAGGTGATATTCTATATCCCTAAGACCCCTCCCCCCTTTGATACGTTTGCCCTTAAACATTCAGCCCCAATACCCCTCCTCCAGGAAAAAGAAAGAGTCTATGTTTATTTACCTTCATGCACTAAGTGGTCTTCTATATCCCTCACGCCCATTGATACGTTCACCCTCAATCAGCCCCAATACCCCCCCCCCCTCTAGGAAAAAGAAAAGTCTATTTTTATTTACCTATTCTATATCCCCAAGACCCCCCACGCCCCCTCAAAAATGTTGGCTCAATCCCCCCCCCTCCCAAGAAAAAGAAAGAGTCTATCTTTATTTACCTTCATGCACTAGGTGATATTCTATATCCCTAAGACCTCTCCCCCTTTTGATACGTTTGCCCTTAACCATGCAGCCCCAATACCCCCCTCCCTCAAGGAAAAAGAAAGAATCCATTTTTATTTACCTTCATGCACTAGGTGATATTGTAATTCTAATTCTAAGAAAAAACCGACATAAGGCATAAGACTTTCCTGCACTGGGAGGTATTCCATTCCACCCAGACGCCCCCCCCCCCGCCGGTGGTACGTTTATCCCCAAAATGTTCATCCCTAAATATTCTTTTGAAAAATGAAGGTGTATGTGCTAAGGGTACTAAACACTTTGGGGGTTATAGAATAGAGTATTAAAAGTCAAAATCTTCATTTACCTTCATATACGGGGCGGTATTCAACACCCCCAAACCTCCGGTGATACGTTCGTCCCTAAAAGCTCTTTTGAAAACTGTTGGTGTAAGGTTTAAGCGAGGTTTAAGGGTACTACACATTTTGGAGAAGAATGTAGAGTCGGGGAGTCTAGGAGGTACCGAATGCCCCCTCCTCAATGAAAAGAAAGAGTCAATCTTGAATTTGCCTTGATACACGGGGGGGGGGGGGATTTTATATTCCCCAGTCCCCTCTGTGATACGTTCAGCCCCAAAAACATTCAGCTGTAATACCTCCAGGAAAAAGAAAGATTCAATGTCCTTGACCCCTCCCCCCTTTGATACGTTTACCTTTAAACATTCGCCCCCCCCCCCCCCTCCCGGCGAAAGAAAAAACTGACAAGACTTTCCTGCACTGGGAGGTATTCCATACCACCCAGACAAAATGCGCTAAAAAGAGTCAATGATCTTCATCTGCATTCATTACCCCCCAAACCCCCGCTGATACGTTCACCCTCAAAAAGTTCGTCCCTAAAAGGTCTTTTACAAAATGTTGGTGTAAGGGTATACTCTCCAAAATTCCTTCATACACTGGTGGATATTCCATACTTCCCACACTCCCCCCTATGATATACCCTCAAAAATTTAGCCTTAATACTCCCAAGGAGAAAAAAAGAGTCTTTATTTACCTCGTGCACTAGGTTGTATTCTATATCCCCAAGACCTCCCTCCCCCCCTAACACGTTCACCCTCAAAAATTCAACGCTAACAACTTTCTTATTTATTAATATATTTTGTTAAGGTCCTCATCACAGAAGCTGCTAGTAAAGCCAAACATATTGCATATTATAAACATCAGGTGTACACATGCGCAGATGTATATTATGCATATTGCAAAAAGCAGATGTGCGCATGCGCCGATGCCAGCTTTCTTATTTATGGAGACATTTCTTTGAAATTTGAACCATAGATTCCTCTAGGTAAGTTCCTGTTGGGAAGTACTGGAAAATGCGTTAAAGGTACTCGCCTCAGGGTGAAAACCTTGTTACTTGCTTTGCATTTAAAGTGCGAATACAATATAACGCTTGTCGCTTAAATTATGCGCTGCAATGGATCAAAACGTAAAATGGACGCTGTTGCCATTTTTCATTTTTCCAAATCAAGTTCAGTGGGAGGAATAACGTAACGCTCAAATCGAAATTCTTCAAATTAAGTTAGGTATACTTCTGCTTGTAGCTGAAGCTATACACTTTCTATCGCATAAGCAAAGCAAACTGTACACTGTTGCCGTTCTCATCTTTTCGCATTTAAGTTAAAGA